CTATACTTATTATAACTTACATAAACTGTTCCAAAAAGTTGTTTTGAATGGTCTGTTCTGGGAATTTCACAAAGTAAGGGCATTGTTAGCCAATGGTACTTTCGTTCCCCAATTTTCTTGCCAGTTTTTCTTTTGACTAAGGATGATTTCCCGTCCATACTGCGCAGTCTGGGAACCGTAATGTTTATAAACATTAAAACTCTCACTCGATGGAATACGAATCGATGTTATACGCTACGAACCAGATACGTTATCTTTGAAGCCTTTCAAATTCTTTTTCCAACAGCTTCATTGATTTTTACAGTTGTTTCATCAAGTGATACGAGAAAGAACGAAACATAAAGCTTCGGGTCCATAATGGTGGTTGACATGAAACTTTGAATTTATTTCATGTAAGTAGTTGCGAACTGTTCTCATTTCATGTTGTCTTACATTAAACAAAACAAAAAACGTAAACAAACTCTCGAGAGTGCGCAGTACGGACTGGAAATAATCTTTAAAGAAGATAAGAGAAACATTTTAAAAGAAATATAAACGCTAGCGCTAGTAGATGACGTTTTGGCTTCATCTTGCTGTCATTATCAAATGCCTACTAGTTAGTCGTACTATTCAAATACATATTTTTTCCCGTTTATGTTCGTTTTTAATTCATCTGCAGCTCAAATGAAATCTATACTTGTCAAATCTCTTTTCTTCCACTCGAAGAACATAAGGACAATAAGCCACACGCTGAAACAATCAAGTATCAAAAGTCTGCGTACGAGCCAAGTGGCCAATCAGACCGGAGCTTACCCCGGTTTCTGCGGCATGAAGCGACTAGGAGTATTTCTTCTCCCCTTTGGATAGGATGCTAGTCCATCGCAGGGTTACCACCAGCATTAAGTTCGCCGGTAATCATTTATACACATGGGCGGAGAGAGGCACTGTGAGAGTAAATTTCCTTACCCAAGAACACAAGGCGATGTACCCGGCCAGGGCTAGAACCCAGACCGCTCGATCCGGAGACGTGCGCGCTAACCATGAGGCCACCGCACCTCCCGCATCAAGCTGCATGATAAAGTTTTTCAGTGCCTGTTTAACAGTGCAGTTTTTTTTTTACAGCGCAAGACAAAATAACAAAAATCTTCATACCTGAGTACGAGCCGAGGTTCAGCCTGTACAGGTCATTCTCATTCTTGACACCAAACTTGTTATACTCGGCATAAGCAGTGTTGCCTTCAAAGTCTTCCAAGTCTACACGTAGCATGCTGTTATTATCTGATGTCAGGCGGTGAATTTTGTCCAGTCCGAGCCAAAATTCACCATTCAGATCACCGAAACCAACTTTGTAATCGCTCCAGTAAAGGTAAAAATCGACAGAACCGTCCAGTCTCTTCTGGAACACTGTCCATCCCCCACCGGCTGTTGTTTGGTCACAAAACACATCAAAGGCAGGCAGATTATCAGGTTTAATGGTGTACACACCGTCTTTTCTTTCACCAGATTTGTGAATTTCAGCGCAGTTGTAAGCTTAATGAAAAGGGAATTAAACAATCTCGTCTGAAAACCATGCTGAAAGTTAAAGATGTCTCGATACAGTTTGTTTCTGGACCATACCAAGCATTTTCAAATAGCTTTTTCATAGTCTCTTTATCTGATCAATTTGAAAATTTCACCAGTGATTAGAAATAGATTGAAATTTGGTATTTTTTTAAGATAATCGATGGAAACGGTATATGAAAAATTGAAAATCGGTGAAACATGGTTTTTTTGGTCGAACAAGATATGATATGAAAAAGCTATTGCCTATGCTATAGACTATGGTGTATTGCAGAAGTAGAACATACAAGAATAAAAAAAATATATGTTTACTGGCTCAAATGTATTGCAAAGACATTTTAAGCGGTAACACTTTTTGCATCATAATAGTAAATGAAGTGACAGTTGAACACTATTTTGATGACATTAAGTTAAATATAAACGGCAAAATGCTAAGTTTTTGTTGAAAGCAAGAAAGTTTTGCTCGCTTTCTTCAGTTTTTGCGATCTCAAGAGTGACACTTTTTCTTAAGATCTCTCCTACCATTATTTTCGGGATTTTTTTTTTTATTTTGACTGCTTTTTCAAAAATCAGCTCGATAGATTTTTTCTGAAGTGTTAGTAATGCGTGCGTGACTGATACACACTGTTTTATTCCAAAGTCTTATTTATAACTTTTTTCTGCATTTTGCATCACGGTGGGGTGCAATACACAATGACAAGCAGAATTTAGCATACTTTTATATCCGTGAATTTGTAAAGCAATACACCACCCCTTTCCTTATCATAAAGGGTTCCAGTGAATCAATGATAATCAAACTTTGGGATAAAATTATCTGCATTATCAAGCATGAGTGGTCAACGTTTCAAAACTATGCTTCGAGCCGTTTTCTAAAATTTGAAGAAATGCTCAACATGCTAAACAAATATTAGAGTTGGAGTGATCGTAACAAAAAGTCCCGTTCTCAGCGGATCGCGAAGAACAAGTAGGTAGTTGCTATAAGTAGTTTCATAAAAATCTTATTTATGTATAAATGGTCTAATATAAATATAGATTTGACCCGTCTAGATTAGCCCAGGCTACCTGCGGGTTCGCGCTGTTGCTATTGTCAAGCTTTTTTAACTTAATGTGAATATATTTTTGTAACATTGTAAATATGCGAGTCATAATAAAGTTGTTGTTGTTAAACAAACACTTCTTGGCTTGAAAACATCTTCGATATACTTTTTGGTGTTATTTGAAGTAATTTCATCAAGACAAAGTGTTCCACTGTTCGTTCGTTTACTATTATAATTTTCTCGAGATCAGACATGCAGAATTTCCTTTTTATTCTTGTATGTTCTTCTTGCCGTACACCATAGTATAAAGCATTGGTATTTAAGAAGTAGAAAACCGCGTTTTCTATCGAGGCTACGCTACTCACTATCTATTCTGTTGCAGAGAGTGCGTAACCTAGCAGTGTGTCCTTGCTAATAAACTGGTGGTCGCTTCTAAGCGTTTTCGAAGCATCGGTGAAAAGGATTTAGATAAAGTTTTGAACGGCTAGTAGAATTATACTAAGAATAAGTTATAGTTCTAGTTATAGTTGATTCGGGCTGCGCCCTCGGCGACTCTCACCTGATAGAAATCTTGAGCTCATAATCTAATTGTTAAATAGAAACACGATTGGAAGTTTGAGAGAATGAGAAATGCTGTGGAAACACTAGCCTGCGAACGTAAACGTATTTCCGGCTGTCACTTGGTTCCGCCGAAAAACAACGTCTGCGAACACGAGCCAGAAAACGATTTCTGTGACGTAGGAATTCTAAGCCAATCATAGTTTAGCTCAAATAACCCCAGAACTACTGCGCGAGGTATTCGCTGCGAGGAGCGCTCGAGTTTCATTCTATCATGGAAKCTGATTGGCCAAGGAGAAACAAARGTCATTACGTCACAGAAATCGTTTCCTGGCTCAGGTTCGCAGACGTTATTTTTCGGCAGAACCAAGTGACAGCCGGAAATACGTCTGCGTTCGCAGGCTATGGAAACAAGAGCCGACAGGCTGGTTCGAGCAAATCCACGTTTTATGGATTTTCAGTTTGTTTGTTTATCGTTTCATGGAAATATCAATTGCCTTAAGAAATACGTTATACCAAACTGCGTTCAATCCATTTCATATCGACCGATTAAGGAGACACCGATGGAAACTGATTGAAGAAGCTTTGTGTGGTCCAGAAAGGACTGTATCGAGACACCTTAATTAATATGGCGCCCGGTTTGTTCCTGGGTGGCTAGTCGGAATGATAGTGTAAAGTATACCAGTAAATAATGTTTTCCTCGAACTCTGATAGGCTTAAATCCCTTGGTTTTTCCCTCTGGGCTATTTTACATCGGAATTAGAGACCGCTGGAGCTCTCATCTGTATGTTAACAGGAACACAGGTAACAATACTAACACGAGCCAAAAGGCTTTTTGCGACAGTTGGTTGGGTGACTTATAGTTCTAAATTTTTTTTAAAGCTAAATGAATTTCAGAACTTGAAAGAGCATGTTTTGAATAGCCGGAAGACCAAATTTTAGTCCAATGCCATGTAAGGTGGAGATTTAATGATGATTTGAATATCGCAAATAATAGAAGTTTTTCTATGGGAGCAAGGAAGCTTTGCCCTCCAGAAACCATTTCCGTTATTAATCACTACAAAATGAAGCTCCTGGCGTATAACAATTGGAAATAGAAAGAGGGTAAAATATTAGGACGAACTGAAAATTCTAGGCTCTTAAACTGTAAAGCAGAGATTTAATGGCAGTTTGGGTTAGCAAAAATTACAAGGATTTGTTTAGAAAACCGCTGAAGCGTGACTGGAGGACGAAGCGTCTTTTTCCCAAACAAATCCTTCTGACGTCTATAAAAATTCCGTCTTAAAGGATTTTACCCAGAAAATTTGCATGCACGTTTATTTGCAAATTTTCTTCATATTTCTGATAACAATATGCAGTACCGACGACTAAATCAGTGTGTTCTTGAAAAGCATGTCAATGACCACCTTATGCAAAAAGCCTATTACATTTAGTGGTGTTTAAAAGAAGGAGATTTTAATTGTTTTAAATGTTCTAAATACACCTGTGCTTTCATGAATGACTGTATAATTATTTTTTTTGTCTTGCAAATTGTCCAGTTATATTCCCTGCGTTCTTTGCTTTGAACATATATTGTAATAGTACAGTGTAGTTGGACTGAGTCAGGGAGTTTTTGTTATCGTGGCGGTCAATTTTTCCTTTTGTCTGAGAAATCGCGACTGGTGCATCTTTTAAATTAATCCAATACGCCGAGCGACCTCCAAAGAAGGGTCAGTGAGATACTCTACAAAAGATGTAGCAGATGGTTTTCATTTATCGCAGCTTGTTTAGGCTTAAACGAAAATACTGGGCACAAGCGACCATCTCCTGCAAATCCTTCCTTACAAGTACAGTTATGTCCGCCGACAGTGTCGGTGCAGTTTGCATTTACGTCACAGCTATGGCTTCCTTTGTTACATTCATCGATATCTACAACAGAAATGATACTTTCTGTATGTTACGTTTAAAAGTTGACATAGATCGTGGAACTCCAGTCATCAGTTCTGCCTTTAACACGTTGAAGTAAAGTCAATTTACCTGAACATGAGCGACCATCTCCANATCTCCAGCAAATCCTTCCTTACAAGAACAGTTATGTCCGCCAACAGTGTTGGTGCAGTTTGCATTCACGTCACAGTCATGGTTGCCGGTGATACATTCATCAACATCTACATTGCAAACGATTAAAAAAGAACTTTTTTAACTTTTGGTATAAAGTTGATGAAAATGTTGTATACTCTGAGAGAAGTGCAGGACTTAAGGTGGCTGAACACAGTTTTAGTGCGCGGAAGGGTTACCAGAATAAACAACCTGGTGTTGATACAGAGATCATTTTATCTGCTCAATGCCCGCGTTATCTGAGCTATATTTCAATATAATTGAACACAGTGTATCGATGGTTTTAGTCTTTAAGGTGGCTCAAAACAGTTTTCTTTTCTTTTTTTTTGAGACGTATAGAACTAGACGCGATTTTTTAGGCTTGGAACTGAACTGTTTGAATGGCTGTGTTACTTTTTAAGGTATCTCTCCACTGTACCTTTCATTGTGTTGAAGTCATAAATAAGGTTGTAATGTTCTGTTGCATAGCAAAAACTTGACCCACTTTTTACCATCAGTTGCATGTATCTTAAAAACTAAGCCGGTGACCTCATGTTTTTTTTTTTTCTAAAAACCTTTTTATTAGCGACAGAAGGAGAAACAGGGAAAAATTTCCAAGTTGGAGGGATTGCACTCCACAATTTTGTGGATTAGTTTTTGAAATATTAGTTTCGTCGATAAGGAATTTTTTGTGCGCGTTCTACGCACAAATTAAAATCTGGACTTTGCAAGATCGCCCTTTGCGCATGCGTGATGGCGGTCCGCTGATCAGTAGGCCTCGTGCCGCCACGTTTGTTTTGAGTTTTGCAAACTTTAAATCTCGCGCGGTATCTCGCGACCCCTCGGGTGATCGCGTGATGCCTCGCGCTGATGCGCGTGTTAGAGCCCAGGCTTCTCACCGAAATATTACAGTTTTGAGCCACCTTTTAAATTAGAAAGGTATGTTACAAAACGTGACGATACAAAGATCCCAGCAATTCCCAGATTTTCTTTGTTACCCAAACAACCCAGTTAGAGCGCTTGTGTAGTAAAAAAAAATTGAAATTTAACAGGGGAAATTCTAGATATTCCAGTTATCCTTCAACAAGGGATAATTACAAATCCCGGTGTTAAACTATTATTAAAGTAGTGTCAACTCTTGAGCATCGTTACGAGCTTGTTGCATGCGAATGATGAAGAAAATCTAATGTCTAGATTTTCTGCAAATAAATAAAAGAAATTTTAAAGGCCCGTTTACATTTATTTATGTCGCTACGAAGGGCACATACGTCAGCTTAACTATCAAAAAACTGAAGTGTGTGTCGTTTACTTGCGTTTTGCCATTTTCGATCGATGACTGAAGGATTAAGGGTTTTTGAGAAAGGTGAATGAAACATAGGTATCAAAAACTGTGTTCGGCCATTTTAAATTCTATATTAAACAAAGATGCAGACAACAACATCAAAACCCAAGCTATCCCCAAAATAACACAGAAGTGACGTGAAAATAACTGTCAGTTACCTTGTAAGTTCATGTCACAATAAACCAAAACTGCCGTTCCATTCGCAGTTGGATCCAGCCAGTACTTGCTGCTAATGGTGTCTTTTCCTTCGCTTGCCTTTATTTCCTGACACGAATGCGCTGGGAGCTCCGGAATGGAACCTAGAGGAGCTTGGATCAAAAAATATATATTTTACCGATTATACTGTGGTTTCTATTATGTTAACAAAGTAATTCTGCTTCTGATATGAAAACTGAAAATGAGTAACTTTATTCAGTGAACTTCACGGGATGAAATTTGCTAAAATGCTGCAAATAGGACCAGCTAGCATTTGGCAGAGTGTTAGCTAGATATTCTTACCTAAGAAAAAAGCTTTCAAAGCTAACATCGTTCACGAACATTAAACTTTCGGCATACCATTGGAATTTCAGACGTAAATATATGTTGCTTTTTTTCTCCACCATGTACGTTTGAAAGCTCTCATTTAAGCATTTAGAACTTGACATCCTTAGCGAAAAGTCAATAAAACGCTTTAGCTTCTAGCATGACGCCCGCCTCTCGAAAACGTCTTTGCTTTGGCTCCCTAATCTTTTTGTACATACCCCTTTCCATCAAGCGTCTTATGTAAGACCGGGCCGGGTCTGAACGGAAATTTTCCGGTCTTGCCTCCCTGGTGCGGGTATTCAGTTCGCACGACTTTTCCCTTTCAACGAAGTTGTAGCTTTGACACTTGATTTCTGTTTCACAGCTGATATCACACTCGTGAAAAGCTTTAACCAGGAATTTTGTAAAGACGAATCCTTGTAGAGCCATTCCATTTATGCTCCGTTCCTCTCTGCATTGCTCACCAGCAGATCCGCAGTCCATAAAGAAGCCCGAGAGGAGGAAAATTAACAAACATGAAACACTCCACAGCATTTTCCTGCTCTTTCAATTTGTTACTGTGAACAGATAAACACAAACAAATATCAAACAGCTAGTTTTGGAAAAGACATTTACGAAACTTAAGGCATCGTTGAATTGGTAATCTTGACCAAAAAATGAATAAGTCTACGACGGAAGCTATTCCTTAGTCTTAACGTTGATTAGTATCTGTAGATTAATCCAAGCTACGTTAATGAGTCTAATTCGACCAGTGAATGGCTTAACACAAAACGAGAGAGAGAGAGGAAAAACACAATAATTATCCACCGAACGAAACTTTAGATTTAAATTGTAATAACCATAATTACTTATAGTACTCTTACACCTTGTGCCACTTACAATACAAGACTAACAATACTTACATTTCTTAAATACAATGTGGGTTACTTACTAACTATACAGTACTCGGCTAAGAATTCAATACATAACGTTACTTGCAGGAACATAAAACTACTCAAGTTACTTAAAATACCGATAGTTAACGATGAAGCTTTTGTGATATCCACAATAATCAAGGTCGAGGTAAGTGTTATCAGCCAAAGCCGAAGGCTGTTGCTGATAACACTAACCGAGACCTTGACTATTTCGGATGTCACAAAAACCGAATCTAANTTTGGCAGGAGTGTCTTGTGTGACCCAAGAACCCTTAGCCTTTACCACTCCATGTTCAGCTGCGATTTTGCAACGGGCAACGAAATCCAACGAAAAAAGCCTACGCTTTCTGAGATAAGTGCGACCTTGCGTGGTATGAACCCCGCTTGTTTTAACAGTCCTTATAAATACACCAATAATTACAAGTTCGTCAACATGTGTCATCTCTAGATTACTTAATCCACGAGTTTGACCATAGGTCTCCTTTGATTCTTTAATTATAAGCGACTGATCTGAACATAACACTTTATGCAATAATTTCTTCCCTCAAGTTTTGACTGTAGCAGATACTTTTTTCTGTGTCGCTCAGGCCAGTCGGATTTCTTCTGATTCTTTTTGACATCCTGATATTTCTTAAAAGGATGACCTCTCCAGACTTCTTTTTGCAGTTTTTAGCTGTTTCATATGAAATCGATATTCTCTAACTTTCATTTTGATCATAATCCAGAGCAGGCCGGATTAATTTAGTTGTCAGACTAGTATTCGCTTTTTGTGTGCTAAATTAACGCAGTTATTTTAAATAGGTTCAAATATTCCTCCCCTTTAAGGAGTCAGGTGTTAAGCTTACAAAAGCCTCTTCCCTTTGAGTTGTGGTGTGACTTTTTCGATATTCCTATTGGTCCTGTTATTGAACTAGAGAAGGCTTAAGAGTCAAAATGCTCGAAATATCAAAAACAGCCTCCAACACATTTTGGCGCATTGATAATCGAGGAATATTTTGGTCCAAGTTTCGTAAAAATCCATCAGATCTACGAACCAAGGGAATCCACGCAAAAACAAGGCCCGAGTTTTCGGCTCCTAAAACTTTTCAAGGTTATCACACCTCATTAAAAAGGTTTTAAAAAGTGGGTGTCTTTCAGAAGATCTTTCGTACTCAAGTTGCTTTAAAACCTTAGAACAGTACATAAACGAGATTTGATCAGAGATTTGATCTATTGATTACCGCTCGCTAACTTTCATCTACAGAATTGACAATGTTTGCGGAACTGAATTACAATCTGCACCATGTCAATCAGCAGGTGATGGGCTAACGGACTACAAAAGTGTGTGATTTCTACTCTCTACTAGGAAAATCGATATTGAACTATATGAATAACGAATAGATAATTTGTCGATCTTCGTCGCATAAGAAGACCTTTTCAAATATCAAAAAGCCTCCGGCACATTAATTTTTGGCGGCTTTAAATCAATATTTTAGCTACACAGTGAGCCAAATAAGGTCTGCAGTCTAAAATTAGTCTGCAGTAACCTTACCTTTTACGAAAACAGCTTCAGACTATTTCTTGGCACTCAGTCTGCGATACAGGAGAGAATTAGCTCAGAACACTGACGCATCGCACAATAAACTGCGGCTGCCTTTCAGAAAATCTTTCGCATTCACGTCGCTTTGAGCGAAAACACAGAAGAGCATTAAAAATCCGTTCAGCTAATTAAATAAAGAGCCAAAAGAACTAATTATTTTAAAGATTTGCATGATCTATTGGTTACTGCGCGCAAGCCTTCAAACGCAAAGCTGACAATGTTTGCTCCTGTTCGTACGCACGACCAAATTACAATCTGCACATGTCAATCAGCAAATGACAGATTACAAAATTGTGTAGTTCAATTGTTTTTTTCTATTCGAATTAACCTAATAGAGTATTTATTGGCGCTCTTCGTCGCATGAGAAGGCCTAAGAGAGGAGGTCTTTTAAATATCAAAAAAGTATCCGACATTTTTTGGCACATTGATAATCAAAGAATGTTTTGGCCAAGTTTCACCGGTTAAAACCCGTCAGATCTATTACACATGTAAGTGTGTTATGGTCAGAGAAAACTGGGCAGAGTCAAAAGAACGAGGTTTGCCGTTTACCGTTATCTTTTCAGAGTATAAAAGCAATGATGAGCGTTCGTTTTTGTTCGAGATATTACCAAATCATGATTCTAATGCATGATTCAATGAAAACTAGCAATAAGTGGCTCTTAAAGCTGTGACATTGTTATTAATATATGTAAACATTTTAAACTCGCCTGATCCTATCCTTCAGTAGATATAAGCTACATTTTCCGGCCAAAATTCTATTTTT